ACCGTATGCTGAATGTTGGGGAGGGGATGGAGTCCCCGACGGTGGACGGACCACTTCAACTCGGTCCTTAGAACCGCCACAATTTGGTGCTTACCTCAGAACTAAGCCTTAAAGAGAGGACGGGTCCGTCCCCTCTCCAAGGCTTAGTCCTGGGGTGAGCAAACCAGCCCTTCTGGCGGAGCTGCTGGACCAGCTGCACCACTTGCGTCAGTACTCTCCTATCGTACCAACCGAGTTGAAGTAAACCGTCGACCGTTGGGGACCCCATCCCCTCCCCAACATTCAGCATACGGTCCCAGCCGAAACGCCAAAAGGGCTGGTTTGCTTACCTCCTTACTTCATCCTATTCGGTAGACCTTCGGCCTATAACGTGTCACTTTCTCGATTACCTGGATAGCTTCTCCAAAGAGTTATGCTTCAAAAACCAACATGATGCGGAAACGACCTCCGCCGGGTTCATCGTCTCTAGAGCTCCAGTATTCTGCACTACCGGGCTGATTCAACGCAGCTATTATTGGCAGAGGTTTGTGGATTCTAACAGTCTTTACTCCAATCAAAAAGGTTTCGAATGAGCCGAGATACAGGCATTTGAAAATCAAGGTCGAAAAGCGCAAGAACTTTCTTCACGACCTAATACATACATATGTGGTATTCCAAAGCTTTTGTTTATTAATAATAAATTTTCTCTCGGAAGAATGTACAAGTGTAAATGTATCTTTAAGGCTGACGCTTGCAATGTGTTCCCGCAGAAAAACATCTTAAAAAATTCGGATTTTTTTTTATAACTTTTGAACACGAGAAATCTCAGAAAGCTGAGTTAGGGCGGAACGGTGCTCCGGTAGAGGAGCTTGTAGCGCACTTGCCTGGGGCGAGCGGTAGGTTTGGGTTTGAGTCCGGCCTGGGGCGTAAGTATATGCATATTCAGCAATCTTGAGAAATCTTAGAACTTTGGAAGGATTCAGTCTCATGAAGTTAGTGTCCCAAAGTCGCCTTGCCACAAATTCCAAATTAACTTTTAATTCGAATTTACAGTTCGTCCCTGATTTACGATTGTAACGTACGCACGGAAAGCTGCTAACGCTGAGTTCACGACAAATCGAGAATCCATCCATTCATGAACAAACGAGTGGAACCACCACTCCTCGAGCTTTCGGACAACCGAATGATGCCACCTGCCGAGTTGCCAATGGTAAGTCCAAATGGCCGTGTATATCTTCTGAAATGTTTTGAGTGGGTTTTACAATTCTATCGTTGCCCACATAGATTTGTGGCTAAAAGCTTCTCATGGCTAAATGGCTAAGGAGCGCGTCAACAGTGCGTTATCCACAAGATCGAGTTCTGCCCTAAACACATCCTTTTACTCGGAGTAATGTTGATAGCGCATATACGATTCGCAAACAGCCAGTTATCAGAAGAAATAGTGCTAATGTATACTTATGTTCCTGGCTAAATATATCCATACGCTTAGCCCGATCTCAGGACTTCTGTCAACCGTGAGGCTTGGCGGTTCAGCGTTTTGTAGTGATGTCTGGGAGCTCTCACAAGTGCACACTATCACAGCATCTCCTCTTTCTTTATCTCCTTCAAAAGGCTTAGTCCCAATAAGACACAAAGTGTGTGCTTTTCCAGCTACGCTCTCACCCTTTGGTTGACAGAAGCCTTGTAACCAGCCCAGTGAAAAGGAGTGTTGGAGCCGGGTGGAATACCTTGTTTGAATCTCAAAGGTAACAGTGGTGCATCATGCTCCATAATTTTCGACCAGTTATATAATAAATGGGCATACGAAGCAATCAAAAATATTTATTTAGACTAAATATCACATAATTATGTACATAACGAACAATAGTTTTGCGTTGACTTGTGTATACACGACGTTTGGCTGTTTTCTTCGTTTTCTACTTTGCTGAAGGCGGAATTCTTTGAGATACTCAAATGCATCGTATCGCGGACAATAGGTTCTGGTTCTGGTGTTGGTTGTGGGTGGAGACGGGCGATCAGCTCCGGATCGGGCGTCGGCGAGCGACTCTGGAATGAATGACGGTAGGAATCCAAAGGATTTCCGTCAGTATGTTAGTAGTAAGCAACTTACGTGATCTGGAGTCCGTATCGGTAAAAAGCGGTTCGAGATTCGTTTTCGACGACGAATGTGTTTTCCGTCGTGGTCTCACCTCACCGATCCTTAACATGGGCTATTTTAAGTCAAACTTAAAGGTGCAGGCCGCACTGTGGGCGGTATCATGTGGTACCGCCCTCCATTCCCATTGGAACGCGTGCTTCTTGTCTTCCCCGTTTAGAGCCTAGGTGAGCACACGTTCCAGTGGGAAGTGAGAGTGGTACCAGAAACCTAGTCCACACATCGCGGCCTTTGCTAATGATGGCGTTCATAGGGAACTCTTTCTAAAAGCTGTGTGTTAAAAAACAAGTGTCAAGTGTATTAGTGCGAAGCAGCATAGGTAGTGTGCATTTTTTCATAGGGAGACGTTCACTATCCTACTCACACATAGCGATAATCATACAGGGTTAGTAATCATATGGAGTAATAATAAACCAGAGATAAGTAAAAGCAAGCAGAATATATCAAAAATGACCTAAAACTATAACGCACGACGTTGCATCCATTGATCGTGGAGGTGGCCGCTTCGCGGCCGCGCGCGACTCAAATCTCAGCGGGCTGCCTGCACGGGCCGGACTGTAAATGCCATGTGTAGGTCACCTAATTCAGTGCTAGTACTTTCTCCGGTGATATTGGAAACGTGTGAATCGTCAAGATGGGTGGGTTTTAGATTGGTACAGGAATTGCGTGCTACAAAATGGTGCGTGTTTCGTAGCCTCCGAATAGACCCGATTCTCTTACTTAGAGGTGGAAATGGATAATGGATCTAATATCAGGCTATATCTTGTTTACGATTAATCTAACTGAATGAAATGGCGTTTGGGAAGTGAAACAATTGCCAAGTGATATTGATACTAACCTGTCGTAAATGACACCGTCGACTTGAAGCCCTCTGAAATAGTCGAGGTTCTTTCTGAGATTGAGATCGTCACCCCATACACACCCACATCAGACCTCGAAAATCCACCCTTACCAACAATTATTCCCACTGGCCCCACCTCGGTTTGCCAACCCCGCAATCAGAAAATCATCGACAACCCATCCTTATAAAAAAGAAACTACCATTTTCCAACACGACCAACACTTACCATCACCCATCACCAACGTGACAAAGGGGAAAATTTCCTCCCAGCCGCCGCCTATTCGCAGGGGCGAAAAAAGGAAATCCCACTCGAATATGAATGTATTCGGTACTCCGAAATCCCTTACATGTGATTTTTCAACTAACCTGAAGAAGTTCTTCACTATGAAAGTTTACACCTAAAAGCCCGTTACCAGCAGCGTAGTTCACAGCGATTTTTGAGCAATCCGAACGAATATCCTGTAATGAATTACCGTAATTGAAGATACTCAATGTTATGCGGTAAACGACCAAATTTGAATTCAATTAACCGTTATACCTGGAAAGGTGTGTAACGTGTAGTTAGTCCTACAACCAGAAACATTACTGGGTAAACGTGTTGTTTGAGGGTTATCCTGCAAGAAGTTTGTTCATTTGTTCACTTTTATTGAGGAAAGGCACAAAATATGGTTGGCAGAATGTGTCAGAACTCAGACCTAAGCGCACGCTTTCAGGCACGCCGCCCGACCACATTGGTACAGCGATTCCGCTAACAAGCAGGGTTCCCGTCAATTAGCAATATGGGCTTTCGCTTTTCCTGTAGTAAAGGATTCAGGAAAGCGTTGAGGATGAGCGAAGACGAAGCACGAAGCTACCGAGGGCGGGGTTTGTCAGCTGGGGTTTTCGCCGGGGCGGGAAGCTTCTGGCGCATTTACTGCGCTTTTGAGCCGCTAATCTAGTAGGTCTGCGACGTTCTTGAGCAGCTCTATACCATCCACTAGAGGAGTTGATCCACCAAATTAATCGTGGGGTGTGCCTTGAAAAATGCATTGCAGGACGAAGATAGGGAGAATGTTATGAGAAAAGTGCACCGCAGCACCGAGGATACACAAAAGTATACAGAATAACTCACAAGCTACAAACATCAGGATCAAAACTAGAGAATATCACTCGTCGTCTGCCGGCATGTTCAAGCACGTTCCGTAAAATAACATCGACGAAGTCATTCCGTTCCATATATGCTGGGCATTCATGCGTACCATCCTGGGAATAATAACAATACGATTTCAACAGATCTGCTCCTAAAGGCACATTCCGTGACTGTTTAAGTGTGGGTCGAAAACAGATGCGGTAGTTGCTCGAAAGCAGATTACAAAAGGGAGGGAAGGATCGTAGTATTTTCATCAAGGGATCTTCTGGCGATACGACTTGGCAATGAGAAGGCTAGGCCGATGTCAGACTTTGCGAATCGCGCGATTCGCTAGCGTCCGCGGTCGCGTTGCGGTACCAGCCAATTGAGTGATTCACTGGCCGCGACGCGACCGCAGACGCTAGCGAATCGCGCGATTCGCAAAGTCTGACATCGGCCTTACCAGCTGAAAGACCGTAATCCCCGCCGCAATCACCGCCTCTACGATCAGCATGCAACGGAGTTTTTGAGTTTTGAAGGTTCTTAGCAGTTTTGGGTCCTCTAATTATTACAAGTCGACCAATCCACAACTGGTTCCATTTTCAAGCGCAATAACCTACACCTCGGCAACGGCAGACTATGTATGGCTGGCACATTCGGGGTTCCGCACTACGATTACGAT